TTAACCAATGTCATAAAACAATATGTGTACTACTGTTTCATAAGAAACTATTTGTTCTGTAAGCCTTCACCTGAAGTACAATAAAAAAAAATAATAATAATAAATAAAAAGAAAGAAACAAATCGCTAGTTTAGAGGAGTTATGAGGAAGGTGGGAAGGTTCCCGGTTATTTTAAGTCCTAAAAGATTTTGACTCAAGGGCAGCGGGGAGCCAATTGAAACTTTTGATCAGGAACATCACATAAGAGGTCAATCTGGTATGGTTACACTTTTTATAGGCTGGGTTGGAATGGGGAGATTAGTTCATATACTATTGCAGTAGTTCAGGCATGAGGTGTATTCTGTGTAGACACAGAATGGGAAGGCAAGGACAGAGGGACCACAAAAAAGAAGCACCTGAGCTGGGTGACTTACTGATATCAGTGGGAAAGGAATTCGAGTTGAGGAACATGGTACAGTTTTATTCTGAGAGGATGACGGACATGAGGTAACCTGGGAAAAAAAAGACTCAGGTTTGGGAAGAGAGCTGTGGCATTTAGTTGAATCCTATGTGACAGCAGATCATGAAGGTAAGGAGTCTAGCATGCTGAATCCCGACTAAATCTGCAAAGTTACCATGGGAGTGGGAACTGGTTGAGGAGAAACTACTTTTAGGGAGGCAGTCAGTTGAAAAGGGTCATTGAAGAGGTGGCTAAAAAGTCAGGTAGGAGGCTAACCCAGAGAATAGAAGAAGGTACCAGACTGAGGCACAGTAGCCAAGTAACATAAGAATTCAGAAGAGACAAAATGAGAAGTAGTTAGAGAACAAAGATTCTCTCACACTTTGGAATCATATGAAATAATCCCTATTGGATTCCTTTTGCACTGTGTTGATTCTGTTTTCTTCAGTTGTATCTTTTTCTTACTTTCTCTCTCTCTCAAACTTAAAATGGAAAATTTCAAGTATACACGAAAGTACAACAGTACGGTGAATCCCTTGTAACCTTCGTCTGGTTTTAACAATAACATTTTGTTTTATCAGACCTCCCGCTTTGGGGTGGAGGGGCTGGTGTATTTTAAAGCAAATCCCGGACATCACATCCTTCGACCCATAAGTACATCATATACATCTTTAACAGATGTCTGATGGATGAGGTGTTTTTCACAATACTGTTATTCCACCTAACAAAATTAACAATATTTCCTTACTGTCATATTGTACCCAGTCCATGTTCTGTTTTTGCCAATTATCTTTAACATGTTTTTAGACTTAATTTGTTTGAATCAGATTCAAACCAAGGTCAACACATTGCTTTTAGCTAATAAGTCTCTAAGTCTCTCTTAATACATACATTCCTCCTCCTGTTATTTTCTTCAGACCATTTATTTGTTGAAGAATCTGAGCATTTGTCTTGTAGAATTCCTCGTATTCTGGATGTGACTGATTGTGACCTTGTGGTGTTGTGTGATATGTTCCATCACCCCAGAAAGTTTCTTTTCTTACTTTCTTTTGAGTACTTCTTCCCTGTGTGTGTAGAAACCAAGTTACACCTACCAAGCACAGCTGAGGATTTCTACCTCCTGTCCTAGCCCTGCCTTGGCTATGGGTGTTTTAGGACCAACTTTGAGAAGATTGCTTCATCACTAAAGACAATATGGACAGTCCTACTGTTTTTTGGACCAGTTCTTCTCATAACCATGCAACATGTTTTCATTGGCACTTTACTTTTTTTTTCTTTATTATTGTAGTTTGAATGAAGTTTACATTTCAAGTTAGTCTCCCATACAAAATTTATACATACATTGTTATGTGACCCTAATTGTTCTCCTCATACTGTGACAGCGCACTCCTCCTTTCCACCCCTGATTCCCCCTGTCCATTCAAACAGCTCCTGACCCTCTCTGCCTTCCCATCTCTCCTCTGGACAGAAGCTGCCTGTTTAGTCTCTTGTATCTACTTGAGCTAAGAGCACACTCCTCATGAGTATCCCTTTATGTCCCACAGTCCAGTCCAATCGCTGTCTGAAGAGTTGGCCTCAGAAATTGTTTTAGTTCTGGGCTGATAGAAAATCTGGGGGCCATGCTTTCCAGGGTTCCTCCAGTCTCAGTCTCCTTGGCACTTTATATCAGGGTAATTTCAGTTGCAGATAACAAAAAACTGGATCTGGATTGGCTTAAATAATGAAGGGACGTTACTGGCTCATTTAACTGAAAATTGTGGATATAGACCGTGGTTTCAAGTGAAGCTTGACTTAACAGTATCACTAAAGGGCTACCTTTTTTCCATTTTTCTGCTCTGTTATCCACTAGGTCAATTTAGTATTGTATTTGGTCCAAGATGGCAGCCAGTAGCTCCCAGGACTGCATGCTTTCTCAGCCATATCCAGCAAGGAAGAGAGACTATTTTTCCCAGAGTTCTCAGCAAAAGTCCCGAGATTCTCTGATTGTCCCAGCAGAGGTCATATGCCCACCCCTGGTCTAGTCAACAGTTCATCTCTGGGGGTGGGGATAGAGCCACCTTCCCCAGAACCGCATGAACCCCTAAATGGAATCAGGAGCTAGGAGGGATTGGTTGCTGTGAAGCAACCACAAACGTCTGCTACGATCATATAAACTCAGAAGCCTCCATGATTGGGGCCTCCCTGGAGCAGCCAAGCTGCTGTGCCAGACACCAACCTCATTCTACCTTGGTCCCTCCTTGCTAGTCATCCTGAGCTTTCTCTGGAGTTTGGGGGTGGGGTGGGGTGGGTGGTCACTGTGTTAATTTTAGAGTTTAATGTTTCCAGCTGGGAGAAACGTACCGATCCTCGAGGCAGGTTTTACTATGTGGACCACAACACTCGGACCACCACCTGGCAGCGCCCGACAGCGGAGTACGTGCGGAACTATGAGCAGTGGCAGTCACAGCGGAATCAGCTCCAGGGGACCATGCAGCACTTCAGCCAAAGATTCCTCTACCAGGTGAGAGGGCAGAGGGGCCTCCTGGTCCTCTTGAATGTGCAGCCTCCCGTGTTCTCCTCTGGCCTGCTTAGGGAGCAGACAGAAAGGTGGGTAGAAACGTCAGTGTTCTGACCCTGGAAATTTTACCCATCACAGTGAAATTCCTCAAATTCCAGTGTTTCTAACTTGGTAACTCAATGTCCAGGCCCTATGTTTAAGAAGTCAACATGTCTGAAATGAAATTCACCATCTTTCTTTCAAAACTGGCTTTCTCTTCTGGCCCCTCCGTTCAAGTCCGTTTATCCTGAGCTGAAACCTGCAGGTCAATTTTGACTTCTCCCATACCTCACCTTTCCAGATCAAAGCAGTCACCCAGATCCTTCTCTTTCCATTGCTGCTGTCATTCTTCTGATCTTTATTATCTGACAGATTTTCAAGGACGGAAGGGAACTTAAAGTTCATTTAGATCAGGGGTCGGCAAACTATGGCTCGTGAGCCAAATTGGCTCACTACCTGGTTGTATAAATAAAGTTTTATTGGAACACATCCATGCCACACCCAGTCATTTATATATTGTCTATGGCTGCTTTTGCAGTACAACAGCAGAGTTGAGTAGTGAGAATAGACCAAATGGCCCACAAAGCCTAAAATATTTACTATCTTGCCCTTTACAGAAAAAGGTCTGCCGAGCCCTGGTTTGCATTAACCTTCTACCTGGTAGTTGATTTTCCTTCCCATCTGAATTGTTAGGGCAACCTCTGAATTATTTTCCCTGCTTGACGGAGTTATCTCCAAATATCACCGTCATCGCATCACTTCACTAGCTCAAAACCTCTGCGGTTATTACTTACAGATAGCATTTAAATTTCCTACATCAGAATCCAGGATGCTCTGGTCTCAAGTTAACTGTCTAAAGGTCTCCCATACTGTGTCACTTTAGGAACCCTCCTAGCACCACCTTGCTGGAGTATCCATCCCACTAGAGCCTCCACTGGTGACCTGGAGCTGGGGGGAACCCAGCTGCAGCCTCTTTGGCAGGTAGAGGTGGGATTCCCAGTTGGAACTCTGATTGCATTTTCTCAGCACATCTTAAACAAGAAAGTTGGTATCTGCAGTATAACTAGCACAGGATGTGGCATATTTCCCGTTGGAAATTTTTTGAGCTGGACCATGAATTTTAATCACCATGTATAACATCATTTTTATTTGAAATGAACTTTCATCCCACAACCCGTTTCTAAATTGACTATGACCCTAGTTAAATGCTCAGAAAATCTTTAATTCCATTTAATTAAGTAACATTGTTGGTTTTACCTTCGTTAGCAGCTCTTCAGTTCTCACCCAAAGTGGGAGCTTACACCACAAGTCATGAGGCACTTTAGCATCTCATTTGGCTAGCTTGTCCTTTCTTCTGTCCGTGGGGGCTGATTGCTCACCATATAGTGAGGATCCCAGTTTCCTGAGTATGGGTGAGCAGAAGGGTCAACTACAATGCCTGTCTACAACCCAGGCCTTGGTGGTCTTACCCAGCACAGTGCTGTGTATGTTCTTCTGCCGGGCTTCCCACCTCAGAACTCCTGTCACATGTGCCTGGCATTCTTTTCTGGTATGTTTCAAAAGTGGATGGAATCTGATCATTCTCTGCATTTCAGAAATGGCTCCTCTTGAGCTGGGCCCCAAAGACTTGGTCTGCCATTTTCTTGGATGGTTGTGGTTGTGAAACTGGGAAGATCTGGGGCATCTTTCTTCCTTGACCTGTCCTTTGACACCGAGGCAAGGACATATTTTAGGAGATTCACATGGTTTTGTCTCCCTGCTTAACCAACTTCTCTAATCAAAATAAATAAAGCCATAAAGGAATTTTTTTTCTTCCCTACCATGCTCCAGGTAGGTTGACTGGAATGTTTGGTGTGCAAAAGGGAAGATTCCGGGATTCTAGAACTTATGTTTGCTTGGTCTTTTTCGGAGCGTTTACTCTTCTTGCCTGCTGCTCTCTTTTTAACAACATCGTTCTTGGCCTGCAGAGGTGAACATTGACTCGGAGGGTCCCTAGAAGTGAAATTAAATGCTAAATAAATTTCTTTCTGAGTACTCTTAAGATAAGTCTCTCAGCTCAGTTGAGGATTTAAGAGGGTTCTGGGTGGAGGTGAGGGTTACCTTTTCTCGGTGAAACAAGACTCATATTGAAAAATGTGGTAGGAATCTTAGTTTCGTCTGATCTCAATGTCTCTCTGTTGATTTTTCCTCCCCGCCGGATTTGGTTTTCTCCTCTTGTTTGCTGTGGTGCCATGTCCTGGTTACAAGTAAGAAGGGTTGCTTTCATATAGTTATTTTGGGGTTTGGCTTTGGCCCAGTCTTTGACTCGGAAGACTTAAGAGCTGATACTATGGTAGCGAATTCCCCTCCTCCCTTGTTGGGCTTAACTGAGACCTTGTTCTTCTTTGCTGCCCTGCAGAGAACACGAAATACAGTTCAAAATGGAAATCAAGGGAATCCCAGATTGCAGTCTCTCCCATAATTCCTTTCTGATGTCTGCCTCAACACACACCTTCTCAGTTTCTCGAAATTATTGTTCCCCTTATTTCTGATGTGTTTTCCTACCTCCCCGTTATGCTTTTGTTGCTTGTGATCATCATGCTCATTTTTGTTTTGTTTCATCCTAGCGGTTTCACTTTGTCCTCTGTTGTGTGTTCCTGCTGTGGTCCCTTGAGGGTGCCCCGTCGAGGGCTTTGTGCTGTTGTGACAGGACCCATCGCACAGCTGACTATTTCTGTGGCATCTCTTCCTTGACTATTCCTTTCTTTCTCCCCTAATAACTAAAGGAGGTAGCCATTGTCTGTACCACTGAAGCAAATCACTTTGTGGCTCCTAATTTGTGGAATCCGAATTGCACTATTCAGAAACAGACAGCTTGTCTCTTACTTTGCAGAGAGCACCTTAGGGTGAATTCTCAAGCACCTGAGTTTTGTTCCCTGTCTATTGGTTCATCCTTAACAAAATGAGCCTGCCCTTTATGCTGTAACCTTTATGCCCTTCCCAGAGCCTTTCTTGCCCTTCAGCTGTATTTGCTAGACATTCTTTATTTCTGAGTTTGTATCTTAAAATATTACTGGAACTTTGCGCTTAGTCCCCAAGGGACTTGAACTGACATGAGCTGTCTGGCTCTTGGCCTGCACCCCATATCTCCCAACCCAGGGCCTATTACCATGGAAAATTGTTCAACAGTTTTCATCTCAGTTCCCAGGAAACTGTCTTGTCTCTCAGAGCCCCTCCACATCCTAAGATCTCTCTTCTGACCACCATCTCCCCCTGCCCCCTTTCCTCTGTGCTTTTCCAGCTGTGCTCCATGTAATACTTTGGGATCTCTCTTTTTAGGAGAGTGAGGTAGAAGAGAAGAAGGGGCAACTGGTTGGCTCATTAGAGGTGTGAGGTTTTTGGGTTTTGCTTTTTCTGGCCATAACGTGTAGGTCATATTTTTTGTTTATCCTTGGCTTCTGTTCACATTCTTCTTTCCGGCTCTCTTTTCTTATTTTCCAAACTGTATTGTGTGCATTCAAGAAGAAATACAGTTAAGTGCTTTGCTTTGACTCTAAGAAGTGAAGTCATTATGATTGTTAGCTTTCATTGATTCCGATTTCATGTGTGGCTTGTGTTTATCAATACCTCTCTCCCTTGCCTATCTGCCTCTTTTTCTCTCCCCTTCTTATAGGTTTGTGGGGCAGGGATCTGATAGGGTGAGAATGGGAGGATACTAAGGAAATTTTTTTTTAGAAAACCACTTTAATGAAAGATGTTGTTGTTGGATGCTGTCAAGTCGATTAACTCATAGTGACCCCATGTGACAGAGTAGGACTGCCCAATACGGATTTCTTGGCTGTAATCTTTATAGGAGCGGATTGCCAGGTCTTTTTCTCGAGGAGCTGCTGCGTGGGTTCAAACTGCCAGCCTTCTGGTTAGCAACTGAGCACTTAAAGTGTTGTGCTACCAGTACTCCTTTAATCAAAGATAGGCAACATTATATGGAGTTTGGGGTATTAGAAAAAAGGCAAGGATTAAGAAAATCCCGATAAAGTATTTTTTAGTTCCTAGTTCAGTGCTGGCCATGGAGGCTGTCAGGAGAGACCTCTTGGTCTGTCCGTTTGTAAACTTAAGCAAAAGGTGGCTGTAAGCCCACTGAAGCCCCCTTGGTGCTGATTTGCCTTCAGAGGCCCTGAATGCTTTATGATGGGAGGTTATCTACTCTTTCCGAAGAAAGAGCCGAGGCATCATACAACTTTGCACCAAATGCTACTCTTCTGATGTCTTACAATGACCTTTTCTGTAGTTCTTCCCTTTTGCCAGGGCACTGCTGTCTCTCAGTACTTACCAACTGCATTTTATTTGGTTTCATTATCTGAAATATATATGTTTACACATCTGTAGTTACTTTCCTTCTGTAGCCAACTGTTTTTTATAGCCACTGTTCTTATATATTGACTACAAAACAAAGTTGGAGGAACTTAGACTTTATGGGATCCCCACCCCCAAAATGACCCTGTGAATTTGGAAGATTTTGTTCAGTCATGATCAGTCAAATCTGAATTGTGGCATGAGATTTGAAGCATGTCCTAGAAGTTGGTGATAATGTGCCCTTAACCAAGGACAAGCTCAGCTTTCCCCACCTTCAGGCAGTATGATTCTGCACGGGTAGGAGGTCCTTTGCTGAAAGGGGGCTCTGTACCATCAAGGAACCTATGGTTTCAAAACGTAAACGTCTTTGTTGGACCTTGCTTGGAAGAGGAGCCTGTGTTGCCACCTTGGAAAGAAAGTTTCTCTGTCCTTTCAGCTTGGGGTGAAGGGAGGGTGTGAAAGGGGGTTCGTTGGCAGTTGAGTTCTCCCAGTGTTTTCTCAAACCCAGACTGAGCTTCATTCATCCTTCTGCCCGTGTGTGGCTCCATCGTCCCCAGACGGGGCCAGCCAGGCAGCCTGAAGTCTGCATTTAGAACTTGATCCCCTAATATGACAATTAAATTTTAGTAAGTGAAATAAAACTGCTTCAGGAAAGAAGAGAGAACGAAAGAGTGGAACAATACTTGTTTTATTTAACCAGGAGAAGTTTTTGACAGCACCCCCTTCCCTGCAGGATATGAGAACTCTTGGTCCACAGCAACCCTCCCCTGGGGACCTCACAGCAGAATTAGGCAGGGTAGGGGGGGGTGTTCTAATGTAAACAGTGACCATGAAGTCCTGGAGTCGGTTCCCCCTTCTTTCTCCTGTCTCCCCTTCTCTCTTGCTAGCTGGCCCCCAGCACCACCTCCCCAGCCTTCCAATAAGGCAAACACAGAACACTGAGCAGCTTCAGGTTCAGGCAGGAGGAGAAGAAAGGTGCTTTGTGAGGGGAAGGAAAACATTCCTGGGGAAGGTGAGGGGCTCAGGGGAGAGGCCCGTGGGCGAGGGGCATGAATGTCCCCTCAGTCTGGGTTGATGCTGCACACCCCTGCTCTCTCCCTCTCCCAGCTCATCAAGAAGAGAGGTGGGGGCTGGACGCGGAGGTGGAGGAAGGCCAGGCCCCAGCCAGGAAGCTCTGGGCGTGGGCAGGGCTTGTGGGAATGATTTCATTGGAAAGGCCTGCGATATTTTTTCCCCTCCCGTGTGTGGTTCTTGGGGAAAGTTGGAGGTGGTGGTGATTTCAGTCGTCTTGGCCGCCGCAAGCAAGAGCTGAGCAGAGGCACGGCTGAGGAAGTCTTGCTCCTGAGCCCTCTGGCCATGCTTCGCCGGCTCCCTGCCTCAGCAGCCCTGGCCCACCTTCATCTCCGCACCTCTTCCTCCCCCTCACTCCACCCTCTCCAAATCCTAGCTGGGCCCTTGGTGTGCAGGGTCCTTTTTTGGTTTTTATTTATTTATTTATTTATTTTTTAAGACTTTTGAGAGTTACAGATGCCACCTAAGGCCTACTGTGTCCTCTACAAAGTGCTAAAATGTAGAAATGAGTCATCAACATTTTTATTTCTATTTAGTGATTTATTTTTAACCAGCGGCTTTTTTTTTTTTTTTTTTTTCAACTTTGTGTTCTGCTGTGTTTCTTGTGTTTAGTCTTCGAGTGCTTCGACTGACCATGATCCACTGGGCCCCCTCCCTCCTGGCTGGGGTAAGTACTGTTCTACTTCCCTGCCCTCAGCCTTCCCTCGGCCGATGCTCTGTGACGCTCTGCCCTCTTCCTCTGTGCACCTTCCTCACTCCTATCCCTTGGTCTGCCGCTTTGCTACTCTCTGGCTTATTCTCTGGTAATGCCCAGTCAGAGCAATTACGGGCGATGGAGCTGGAAGGTTGGGAAAGGAACTGAGCTGTCCGCTGCTCTGTAGCATTCACCTGCCACAGCTAAAGGAATGTGACCCTACAAAGGAAGTCTCTGAGCAGCGGTGGGACTGTTGGGTCCAGGGCCTGAGTTTCAAAGTGTCTATCCAAGGAACCATCCTAACACTGACTAAGACATTTTAACTCTGTCTGATTCCCAAATGGATTTGTTTCAGGTCTGTGACTGTAAGACTGGAAGAAGCCTCCTTAACAAACGTTTTCTTTGCAGCTGAGATGGCGGGAGACTTCAGCCTAATTTTAACTAATGGAAGCCACCTTTTTATTTGTAACATAGCTGTGAAAGGGGCCAAAGGGAAGCAGATAAGAGAGTTGAGGGTGCTGGGTGGTGACTTTATGAAAGTGCATCATTGCTAGTTAATAAAGTCGTGCTGGTGGCTCACTGGATTCGTCTTGCCTTGGTAACTGCCTCTTATGTATTCCCGGTCCTTGCTGGGATTTGTCAATAAATGAGTTAGCGGGGTGAACATGCAGGGCTTGGGAGAGATTGTGGACTTTCTAGCTATTCCAGGAAGGCGTGGCCATGCAAACAGGCGTCTTTAGAGATGGCGAGACTCAGCACCTTCTGCAGCTCTCTGAGCTGGGGCAGGGCTTTGGTCAATACTACAAAAGTCCCTTGAAGCTGAAGAGGGCAGAGGGCAGTTTTCGCAGGAATCAGCATGTGCTGGGGGTAATTTATTCGTCAGGCCAGTAGAAGACAATAAATACTGGTTTGGTGGTATTCACAGATGGTATTAAATTGGGAGGGGAGGCACTCGCCAACAAGGATGGAGAAACGTGCCCTTAAGGAGCTGACAGTGATAGAATAAGCATCAACCTGGAAAAGCAGCCAGCTTTTGAGCTGGATCCTCTCAGTGCAGAAACAACTACTCCCTGGTAGTAACTTAAGAGGTTGCATCAACTCCCTTGAACCTACTGGGTATCACTTAGTGAATTACCCCTGCATTCCAGAGCTCTAAATGGGTGCCTTTTAGTCTGTCTAGTGGGAGATATCAGTTAATGAAGTTTCCACACATTTCTTGATTTTCAGCTAGGGAATCCCTTATGCACACAGATGACCCATCTGGCTCCCTGAACTGATGAAAGGTAATTGGTATCTCAGATATTGGTGGGAACTCAAATGTGAGAGAGTTAAACACTTAGGATTCCTCTCTAGGTAGGGGAAAGCTCATCCGATTAAACAAGAATCTTCAATGCTGCTTGGCAGCCAATAGACACTGTGACCTAGAGCTGGGAACCTTGAGTTTGTTTCTGGCTCTGTAGAGGGTGGTGGTGTAGCCCAGCCAAGTGAGTTTATTTCTGTACCAATTCTGATAAATGATGGTCACCAAGTAAGAGCAGTTGTAGAGATTCAAAAACACACAAGACTATAATGGTAGGAAACTGGAAGAAGGATATGCTGGTCAAGGGCCAGAGAACCTTCCTAATCACAAATCCTTTTGGGCTTTGTGTTGGCTTTGCTAGTGCTGAGCAGTGACCCCTCCCCAGGGATAGTTAAGAAGGAACAGAAAGAGTAGTAACATCAAATGTGAATTGCATTCATCATGAGCCTGCTCTCGGAGTCGACCGGTGTTCTTCCTGCTCTTAGTTCCTAGGTCCCTCTTTGCTCCTTGGAGAAAGCCTGTGGTGTTCTCCTTGTGACTGGCTGCCTCAGCAGCCGTGACCCTGGGCATGGGACAGAATCCTCTCAAGTCTCTTTCCTCCTAAAATGAGGTTGTGCTAGCTGCTCATTTAAGGACATTCCCTGCCCCCCAACTATGGAATTGTATGCAGCCAGGCAGTTCCACTGAGCTGCCAGAGGCCTGCATGCAGCAGGCAGTGCCAGAAATGAGGGTGCAGGCCTCAGACCGGCTTGATAGACCCCCCAGCCTGGCAATTAGCTTTGTCTTTGGCCTTGGCCCTTGGCAGAGCTGACTTGGAGGATCTAGTTCAAAGCACTAGTTTCTGGGCTAGGAGTGGCCCCTCCTGCCCTCAGAAACCTCTTAGAAAGCCTTCCTTCTGTCACACGCCATTTTGAGGTGGTCATAGCTCTGTAACGGTTCCCAGGCACCTTCTTTCCTTTTGTCTGTGTTTTAAAAATTTCAGTCAAATAATGGCTACCAGATAAAATAGGGAGTCAAAGAGAAACCAAGACCGTGGGTTGATACCTGGAATGTTGCTGCCTAATTCTTGAGGGGAGAGGGGTTGGTCTCCCCAATTCTGTTTTTTCAGCTCTGGTTTCCCTGTAGCTTCTGGAACAGATTACTCTTATTTCTTTAATGTCACCCTGTCTTCGTAAAAGAGGATGAGCCATTAGCATTGTTGTTCTCAGGTTAGAAACAAAGTTGAAGGCCCAGGAACTTCTGGGAGAGGTGACCCCCTTTGGGTGCAGGGCCCTGCCCCTAGTTTTGCCTCCCGCCTGCCTGGAGCTGATGGGCTGCCCTTTCCAACCCCTGTCAAGACATGGAATCAGCAGCTAGAGTTAGGGCTGTCCCTGGAGCCCAGACTCTCTCTCTCTCTTAATAATTCCTGAACCATCATCAGTGACCCAGCAAAGGGCACGAGAATAAAGAGTGTCCAGAGGAGACAAAGAGTGTGTTTGGGCCCCTGACACTCCCCTGTCTCCGAAGCACACACTTAGGTGTAAGAACAAGATGGGCACCATCCATGTCTACAGCCCCAGTTATTTACTTGCACATGGAGGTTTCCCTGGGATGTGAGAGTTTTGGAACGAAACTTAGCATTCACGCAGAAGAAAAGAGATAACAGAGAGGGCCTGTGGGCCCTGTGGTCCAGAGTACTGATCAGAGAGGTGTAAAGCGTAATGACCCTGCTTTATGGGACAGAGGGACCTGGGTGTGCTGTGTCTGGTGGACGGAGTGGTGGCAGGTCCTGAGATCAGCCATGATAGTCTGGGGTTGGGGGCTATGCAGGTGGGGGCTGGGGCTGAGGGAGGCCGGCTGTGCTTCTGGTTTGCACACAGCTGGATGCAATTACTTCCCTGGTTTCAGCCTGGTTGCTCCCGCTCTGTGTTGCCACACCACCCCCTTTCCTCCAGCCAACAAAACAACTAAAGACAGTACTTGTTCTTGAGTTGAAAATTTGTATACCAATCCTCACCCCCCAACAGGGAAAGATGCTCTTTGTTCTTTTTCCCAGTGATAAATGTGAGCGACCCAGCCTTTCACTGGTCAAACTTCTCTAACAGATTGGGTCAGAGGCAGAAGTTCAGACCCAGCACCCAGGAGGTGGAAGCCAGAGGGGAAAGGACACGTGCTACAGATGGTTTGGTCTGATTGTTCTCTTTTCTTTCTCCTCCCCTGGCAGAGAAGAGGCAGGACAATGGACAGGTGTATTACGTGAACCATAACACACGCACTACCCAATGGGAGGACCCTCGGACCCAGGGGTGAGGACTTGGGCTGTGGAGAGGGCGGGGAGTGGCTTTAGACTGCGTCTGTCTTACAGGGCCGATGTTACGGGATCTTTATCCACGCACAAGTGCTCTGAGACCCTTACAGTGTAGTGTGGGCCTAAGAAGAGCTTGAAAGCTGCTCCTTAAATTGACCTCCCTGGTGGGTGGGGGGTGGCCAGCTAGTCTCTGTACTAATTGTTCAGGCTGGCCATCATTTGATCCCAAAAAGGTTGAGGGCCCCTCTACCTTCGAGAAGTGGCCTGGGACACTTGGTGTCTCAGCACTGCTGATGGCCACTCAGGCCAGTGCCATCCACTAGGGCTGGTTCTTTGGCCTTGGGATCATAAGTGACCTCTCTGCTGCAGAAATGTCCTCACAACTTGAGTCATGCCAGGTGCATGGGCCCTGCAGAGCTTCGGTGAAAGCAGAGCATGTAGGGCACTGAGGACCTCACCTGTCCGTCCTTACCCCATCTCTTCCTGTGTTGCAGGATGATCCAGGAGCCAGCTCTGCCCCCAGGGTGGGAGATGAAATACACCAGTGAGGGGGTGCGATACTTTGTGGACCACAATACCCGCACCACCACCTTTAAGGATCCTCGCCCAGGGTTTGAATCTGGGTAAGGGCTTTCCATGGGCGACATCGATATCTATTTGCACAGTTAATTCTGCTCAGCCGGCTCAGGGGTGCAGGCTTTGGGGTGGCTTGCGTGTGTGTGTGTGTGTGTGTGTGTGTGTGTGTGCGCGCGCGCGTGTGTGCGTGTGTGTGCGTGTGCGTGCGTGCGTGTTCTGCTGCTCTTCACTGCCCTCTGGTGGCCAAATCTGAGGTTATAGTAATGGGGTTGGGGAGGAAGGGGCTATCCTGTTTATTCAGAATAACACTAGTGGTATTTCTCTAAAAGCAAGAGGTCTGGATTTATTTCTGGTTTTCAAATTTCTAGTCTTCATATCTGCAGAGGGTCTTAATGGCAATCACTTTCTTTCTTTGAAGCCTTACTTTACTCATCTTTAACACAGCATCAGCTTTCCTTAGGGCTAACAAAAGTAAATTACTAGTGAGGAATCACATGGATTCCAGAACATTTTTGCTCTTCTCAGGACGAAGCAAGGTTCCCCTGGTGCCTATGACCGAAGTTTTCGGTGGAAGTATCACCAGTTCCGCTTCCTCTGCCATGTGAGTTCTTGTTCTGGGACCTCCCGAGGCAGGTATGGTTATTGAATTATTGAAATATTTCCAGCCCAGCAGCAGGAACTTGGATGTCTGAGGCTTAGGTGAAGGCAAGTTGCTCTTCTGACCCCGAGCTCTTGTCTGAGGATGTCTCAGTCTATTTTAATAGAAGACAGGGTACAAAGAAGCCATCCTCTGTTTCTGGGGGACCAAGCTTTCCCTCTACAGACTATGGCGATCTAGATTGAGTAATTACCACCTGAGGCCATGCTTTGAGTTTCTTTTTTTTTCCCCTTCATTTCAGTCAAATGCCTTACCTAGCCATGTGAAGATCAGCGTTTCCAGGCAGACTCTTTTTGAGGATTCTTTCCAACAGGTGAGAGAGAAATAAAAAGTTCTCCTTCTACTATCCTATCTTCTGTCATGGGGCCTGTTAAACTCACACTGTAGAGTTTCCAAGGCCTAGGCCTTGGAGACTGGTGTCTGCTGGACAGCAGGCCTTAGAGCCCCTGTCCCTTCCCACCCCCTGCCCCTAGCCTGCTGTGGAAGGGAGGGTGGCAGGCTGCCCATGAGACTCTGTCTCCCCAGATCATGAACATGAAACCCTACGACCTGCGCCGCCGGCTCTACATTATCATGCGTGGCGAGGAGGGCCTGGACTACGGAGGCATCGCCAGGTGAGCTCAGCCACCCTCGGGCAGCTGTGCTGCTCCCTCTGCCCCTGTTTATGGGCCCATGGCCAGAAAGCTACCCCTCCTTGCTCAGGTTCATTCCAAAGCTCTCCTGCGGCCCCTGCACCCTCAAGAGTGGGCATGGAGCTGGCATCCAAAATACTTAACAATCTGTATGGACAGTCAGAATGAGTGCTGGAGCAGGGCCCAGGTCCTCTGCTGGGCTATGCATTAACTCTTCAGTTATTGGATCATGGGGACACTGGGGATCCCCAAGGGAGGGGCTCCAGACAGAGGCTCTTTTAAAAAAAACCAAAACCAAACCCGATGTCATCAAGTCAATACCAAACCCAATGTCATCAAGTCAATACCAAACCCGATGTCATCAAGTCAATTCCAACTCATAGCAACCCTGTAAGACAGAGTAGAACTGCCCTATAGGGTTTCCAAGGAGCCGCTGGTGGATTCGAACTGCAAAACTTTTGGTTAGCAGTCACGGTTTTAACCACTGCGCCACCAGTGCTGCAAGGCTCTTTTATCACCCAGTACATAATCATCTCTGTACTTCAGTAACCAGTACAGCTGCACAGGATGCAGTGGCTGGATATCACTGCTGCATGGTTGTCCAGTAAAATCGACCCTGAGTTTCTCTTGAGGCAGCCAGGCACAGGAAGTCAGAAGGGTTCAGTGTGTACCTGACGTGTAAGCTGTGTGACAGTTTAAAGGCCTTGGTCAATACTAGACTACATGTCATGTGCACAGGGTCAGTAAAATTAAAACTAACATAACTGTAAAAAGAACCCTAAAGCATTGTTTTGCCCTCACCTCAGTCCACCTAAAAGACTGAACAGACTCTGGAAAAACGCTGCCTTGGATGATGGGGCAGAAGGGCTCCAGCAGACGAGCGTCTGGGCCAGCAGTGACTATCAGCCCGCTGACTTCTCATGGTGTGGGGATGTCTTCTTGCTTGGTGTTGGGTTAACTGGCTCCGGTTCTCTGTCTGCTGGTTGCGTTGCCCCCAAGGATTGATTGTTCTTTTTTTCGTGGTGACCTTCTCTCCAGGCTCTGCTTGGTGGGCTTCTGGTGTGGCTCCCGCCCTCTGTGTGTGTCTCTCTCTCTGTGTCCTGCCAGTGGTTTTACCCTATGGTAGGTTACGTCATGCTGTTCTACCACAGGGTAGAACCACGGACAGGATACCGGGGCACCCTCTGCATCGAAGGACTCCTCGTCTGCCCAGTCACAGACAGCCCAGCAGCAGGGACTGGCCCTCTTGGGTTGTCCCCCTGCTGGTTTAGCTTAAGCCATGAGGCTTGTACCAAGGGTGCACATAGCTGCTAAGGCATGGGTGTTGGTTCAGATGCATGCATGGAAGTATGGGAAAGGGTACAGTGCTGGGGCCTGGGGTGACGGGAGGGCAAGTGCAAGGGCCTTGGGTGTGCAAGGGAGTGACCACCTGGGATGTAACTGATGGGAGAGAGGTTTATCATCTAGAAGCAGCATGGAGTAGTACAGAGTTTTCACAGATCAGGAGTTAGGAAGGTGTTTTTGTGTATTCATATTATGCTCCCTACTCAGGCACAGTGGAAGCAGGGTGGCTGCTATTCGTACAGCACCTTTGTGAAATTTAGATTTAGCATCTTTGCACCCTTCGTCAAGGACATTTCCATCTGTTGGAAAGTGGTCATGATATCCAGATTTTATCAGAAAAAGACAACTTGGCTACCATTTGCAGGAAAATTGTAATGAACGTGCCAATCTATTTTACTTCTCTGTTGGGCCGTTGTGCTTTACACAGCCTACACAACTGTGCATGTTGGCCCAGGGTGCAAGGAGCTGCTTTGCCATTAGAATGTCTGGACATAGTGATGTAGAGTCTTGGACTGTACCAGCTGGGAAACCACACAGGCTTCCCTGAGCATCGTCCTCACGTGCCGTTGTTATTCTGGTTCGCCCTAGGTCTGACCCCACCCTGCTCACTGACTACCTGTTAATACAGGTTAGCCCAGCTGCCGATCCAGGTGGGGCTACCTGAGAAAGAGGCAGAGGAGAGTTGCAGCTCCTGTGCAGGTATACAGGGAGGGGTCCATTATCCCTGTTTTTTCTCTCTTCCCTCACAGAGAGTGGTTCTTCCTCCTGTCCCATGAGGTCCTCAACCCCATGTATTGTTTATTTGAATATGCCGGGAAGAACAATTACTGTCTGCAGATCAACCCTGCCTCCTCCATCAACCCCGACCACCTCACCTACTTCCGTTTTATTGGCAGATTCATCGCCATGGTAAGAGGGCTGGGCATCCTCCTAATCCCAGCACTTCCTTCCTCTTCTCTCCCATGGTGAAGTATGCATGGAGTTGCCAGGGGAATCCACACTTCCTCTAAAACCTCCAGGAAGGGCAGCAGTTGAGGAAGCGAGGCCCTGTGCACCAAGTAGGCAGCATTGGCACAAGAAACCACCTCCTCAAACTCATGCTCACCTCATCCGTAGAGAACTCCTAACCTAAAAATACAGAAGGCTAGAAAGACTTTCTGGAGAAACCAGAGCTTTCTTGTGGCCACCCACGGGTGTTGAGAGGGGCTTTGTGTTTTGATTTGTGTAGGACTTGTCAGGGGAACGCCAAGGGTCCCTGGGTCACAGGACTTCACTTGACATTAAATGTGCATCCTGTTCAAGGCATTGGGTGATGGGGCCAAGTGAAACTAACCACACACCTGCTGCCCATCTGGGGAGTGCCACTGTCTGTCATGAGCCTATGGGTGGGCATGCTTGGGAATGTCTGATTGAGATACTAAGGCCTTCTGGAAGGGGATTTGGAAACAACACTAGCTTAGAACAGAGCCCTAGTAGACCAGTTGGTGCAGGGTGTAGGAGGCATTCATCAGAAGGTAGATGTGTGGTGGGGTGGGGAGTTGCAGTATCTGTATTTACCTAGAAATAGGGAGACTGTGTGACTATGGAAAGGGAGGTCATACCATGTGCATCAGTGTGGAGTGCCTTGTGAGTGTGGAGAACCAGAATGGAGAAGGGTGAGCCCATGGCACTCTCACAGTCCAGCTGCCATATTTGTTAGTTTGAACTGCTTCAGTGCTAACTTCCTTTGCTTCTTCCTGACTTCCTGAGTGCTTGGTCCTGTTCCCCTCTCAGGAGAATCTGAGGGCCCCAAGAGCCCATGACTAAATATGTCTCTTCCCCATCATCTGCAAATTCTTGACCAAGGTGCTGGGCTCAGAAGTGGGCACATTCTTCCCAGGTCCAGAGACCCGCCCGGCCCAGCAGCCAATGGGACAAACCAGTAAAACCCTAGACTATTACTCACCACTGGCTTGTCAGCTCTTGCTGTCTATGGTGTCTGCATTATTTTTGGCTGCCTCTGCCTCCAGCTCTGAGAGCCAGTGAGTCAGGGCTGCCACCTGGAGCTGTTCTGAATACGTGTCCTCTGTGAGCACAGGGCAGCTCTCCACTCAACCATGGGGCCAGCCTGGAGGCATGCTGGGCAGGCAGCGGCTGGAGATGGGTTCCTGAGCAGGGGGACTCTGCTCAATCCCATCGTCTGGATGGTGGGATGAGTCCATTTGAGGTCCAAGTCAGGAAAAAGAGTGTTGCTTATTTCCCAGACTTTCCCTACAGGCCCCTGAAGTAGCCAGATGCTCAGGTCCTATGAGGGAAGGAAGGCAGGTTGCAGTAGCAGGGCTTTGATTCAGAGCATTCAAGAGCCTGCCTTGGTGATTTCCTGGGAGGGCCAAAGTTCTTTGCCATGTCTTTTCCTTCCTCAGGCTCTGTACCACGGAAAGTTCATTGACACTGGCTTCACCCTCCCTTTCTACAAGCGAATGCTCAACAAGAGACCAACCCTGAAAGACCTGGAGTCAATCGATCCTGAATTCTACAACTCTATCGTCTGGATCAAGTGAGTGCCTTCCCATGCCCAGCAGTTGGAGGAGGGAGGTCTCTGGTTGGGGAGTAGGTACCGATGGCCTTTCTTTTCTCTGCCAGAGTGGCCCATTAAGCTCTTATGCAGCCCTGATAAGTGCTTGTGTAGATGAGCAGCTTCTCAGTCCCACTGTAGGGCAGCTCTGGAATTCTCTCCTTGCATCAGAAAGATATCCCGTGCCATTATTCAGGATTCTAGGCCACCTGTGAGCTCTTAGGTGTTTCATGGGCACAAAATGTGAGTGATGGAGCAGGATTTAGGGAAGACCCTTCTATGATAGAAATTGTCCTTCTTGATCTCTCCTGCCCCCAGAGAAAACAACCTAGAAGAATGTGGCTTAGAGCTATACTTCATCCAGGACATGGAGATCCTGGGCAAGGTCACAACCCATGAACTGAAGGAAGGAGGTGAGAGCATCCGAGTCACAGAGGAGAACAAGGAAGAGTATATCATGTAAGTCTCAACTGCTGGGGAGCACAGTACTGGGGGCAGGGGTTGGGGCCGGGGTGCTGTGAGAAGGGGCAGCAGAGACAGTGAGTCACAGAGAAAGGATTTCCTACTCTTATGTCTGGGGAACCCTCTTCACCCAGGTCCCCACATGTGGTCCATAGCTCACCAGGGATAGCAAGCACCTCCTATTTTTGCATCTGCCTTGAATAGCTGTCGATGGCCAGTCCCATGATGACGAGGGTTGGGGGAGCCAGAGCCCGAGGCGATTTTTTTTTACTAGCTCTTGGTTGCTTTAGTTCAACCGTCATTCCCACGTGGTGGACTTCAAGACTGCCAGTTGAATTTTTCTGAAGAGGCATAAAACTTGGATGCCTCTATCTTCTTTCTCTTAACCAAACTGAAAAGATTTCTGTGTGCTATGTGTTTAAATTTATTCTCTCATGTGCTTAAATTCATTGTCTTATGTGTGTATGTGTGCAGATTCTCTCATGCACATCCTTCAGGTTTCTTAGTCTAGCCTTTTAATCTCCGCACTCACACATCTCTGAAGTTCAGTCCGTGATGGCGATGGTGGACATGGTGCAGATAGTGATTTTAAAGACTCGGGTATAGCCAGGCTACTGTGAGGTTTATTTATTTATTTTAATTTTATTGTCAAAATACACATAATAAAACATACGCCAGCTCAACAATTTCTGTATGTACAGTTCGTTAACATTGATTACATTCAAGTTGTGCAACCATTTTCACCATCCTTTTCCAAGTCATTTCACCACCGTTAACATAAACTCAATACCCCCAAAGCAACAACTCCCCCTTACCCTTTCCCTCCCAACTGCTAGTGACCATTAATAATCTTTGGTTTCTAAATATTTGCTTATTTCATAAAAGTGAGATTTTACAATATTTATCCTTTTGTGACTGACTTATTTCGCTCAGCATGATGTTTCCAGCATTCATCCATATCATGGCATGTGTCAGCACCTTATTTCTCTTTATGGCTGAACAGTATTCTGTCATATGTATATACCACATTCTGTTTATCCATTCATCTGTTGATTACTGTGCGGTTTTAAAGGTTGTACCTCTGGGTCTAGGTGTACAAGAAGTTGACTCTATGCTGATTCACTGCTTCTGTAAGAACAGCCACACAGGCAGACAGTGAGCTGCGCCTGAGCAGTGAGTCTTGGGCTCCGCTGACAGCTGCTCTTTGGTTTTAGGCTGCTGACTGACTGGCGTTTCACCCGAGGTGTAGAAGAGCAGACCAAAGCCTTCCTGGATGGCTTCAATGAGGTGGCCCCCCTGGAGTGGTTGCGCTACTTTGATGAGAAAGAGCTGGAGGTGAGTGTCAAAGGTGGTTGGGGCTCTGAGCCCCTTCTTATGGGGTGATCCTGCTCTTTTATATCATCACTGTATACCCAGAGAAACTTACCAATTAACCCCCCTTTATCAGGGCAAATAGTTTGGATTTGGGTTCTCAGCACCCACCCCTCTCTGGGCCCTTTTTTTGAGGGAGTCCGTGTTCAGGAAAGCAGAGACTTGTTTTATCCATATTTTTACAACTTCCAGCAAAAATAGTGGGATGTGTTTGGGACTAGTTCATTTGCTAGTAGGGGGCGGGGGGTGTGGTGAGGTGTTCTGGGCCAGCAGGCCGAGGCCCTCCTTGATGGGGGGAAGGCTGGCACTGAAGTTGCTGATGCACTTTTCTGTCTGTAGCTGATGCTGTGCGGCATGCAGGAGATAGACATGAGTGACTGGCAGAAGAACACCATCTACCGGCACTACACCAAGAACAGCAAGCAGATCCAGTGGTTCTGGCAGGTGGGTGTTGGGACCAGTTTCTGCTGGGTCGGGGCAGGGGTCTCAGCAGTGACGTTTTATAGCAGTGGCCAAAGGAAATGAGACCTCAGGCTCGAGGAACCTTGTGCTATCACCTCCCTCATCTCTGACACTCTCCTTGCCTCTCCCAGCTTACAAAAACCTGTTGCCATTGAGTTGATTCTGACTCACAGCAGCCCTACAGGACAGAGTAGAACTGCCCCATAGGGTTTGCAAGCCTGTAATCTTCACAGAAGCAGACTGCCACATCTTTCTCTTGTGGCATGGCTGGTGGATTCAAGCCGCCTGCCTTTTGGTTAGCAGCCAAGTGCTTAACAACTGCACCACCAGGGCTCCTTCTAACTCACAAACCTGAAACCCATTGCCACGGAGTCGATTCCAACTCATGGCAACTTTATAGGACAGAGTAGAACTGCTCCATAGAGTTCCCAAGGAGTGGCTGGTGGATTCGAACTGCTAACCTTTTGGTTAGCAGCTGAGCTCTTAACCACTACTCCACCAACCTTAGAAAGGATGGAGATTGTTGCAGCTGGGTTATGGTCAGCCATTTGACAGGAGACCATCAGTAGTCAGCCCTGGGCCAGCTCTAACATCTGGTGTGCGGGGGTGGGAGGGGGCGGGGGGGGTTTTTGAACCTGCAAGGCAAGAAGTAATGCTCCTGTCAGTCACGTGATTGCCTTCCAGATGTGACGGGAAAGCATGTGCTTGGCTCCAGAACAACTGAATGAGCTCAGCATCCTGGATATAGTGAATTGACTCCTTTATATGTGTGGGTTTTGTTGTGAAGTATAGCACACATAAAAAAGAATAAACATAGCATAGATATCCTTAGTATACATGTGTATTTTTTTGTTGGTGGTGTTGAGGTGAAACTCACATAACATAAAATTCACCATGTTAAGCATTATGAGGTATGCAATTCAGTAGCTTTTAGTACATTCATGATGTTGTACAACTATCATCACTCTAATCCCAGAACGTTTTCATCTCCCCCGAAAAGAAACCCCCATCCCATTAAGTGGGAGCGTTGGTGGTTCCGTGGTAGAATTCTTGGCTCTCGTGTGGGAGATCTGGTTCAGTTCCTGGCCAACGCACCTTATGTAGCCACCACCCGTCTGTCAGTGGAGGCTTGTGTGTTGCTATGATTCTGAACAGGTTTCAGCAGAGTTTCCACATGAAGACAAACTAGGAAGAAAGGCCTGGAGATCAGTGTCCAAAAATCAGCCAGTGAAAACCCTATGGATCACAGTGGTCTGATCCACAACCAGTCTTGGGGCTGGCGCAGAACTGGGCAGTGTTTCGTTCTGCAGTGCATGGTGTCCCCATGAGTCAGGGGGCGACTCAACAGCAGCTAACGACAACAACAACAGCCTATTAAGCAGTCCCTCTTACCTTTAGTGTATTTTTAAATGCAGAGTTTAGATGGGAAGAGAATACCTGGCCCCACGTGTCCCTGAGATGAAGAGCTGTCCTGTAAACCTAGCATCTTAGAGGAAGCGAATTTGGAGTTTCCTGGTTGGTAGCTGTCACCACCTGTCCAGCCTGGGCTTGTGTTCTCAGCGCCAGTGAGAGAGGCCTTGGCCGCTCTGCAGGCTCAGGGAGGGTGCCACTGTCTCCAGCTGTGGGGTCCGTTTTGGAGGGTCATGTGTCAGGGCTGAGTGCCTGGACTTGCATGGTCCCTGACCGGGGCATGACTTGCTGAGTTGCAGGTGGTGAAGGAGATGGACAATGAGAAAAGAATCCGGTTGCTGCAGTTTGTTACTGGAACTTGCCGCCTGCCTGTTGGGGGATTTGCCGAACTTATTGGTACGCTTCCCCTCACCCTGCTGGTGCCCTGGTGGTGGGTGGGGGCAAGGACAGCTCAAGGAGAGGGTGTGCTCTAGTGTGCCCCCAACCCCCAAATGGGCTGTTGGGGGTGGGGGAAGAGCCGTGCCACATTCGGCCCGTGCTGAGCCTGTGGGTGGAGTCAGAGTGTCCTGCTTGTTGACATCTGGTGTGTGTTTCTTTGGGTAACAGGTAGCAATGGACCACAGAAGTTTTGCGTTGACAAGGTTGGCAAGGAAACTTGGCTACCCAGAAGCCACACCTGGTGAGCATGCTGTTTTTAGCGGGAGGGGGCCAGGAACCTTAGAGTCTAGATGAGCTCCAAGGACAGTCCAGTAGGTAGAACAGCTATGGGGCCTCACCTCTGGGAACTGTGGTGTGGCTCCGGGGTGCTGAGTTGGAGAGAAGGAGCTGTGATATGCCAGGGTGTCTCTGCTTTAGGCCTTTGGTTTTTTGAGTCGTTGCAGCAGATAAGCACCCTTACAGCCATACCAAGTATTAAATATTGAAATACTTGCATTTCAGTGGACCAGGAACTCCCTCCCATCTCCCCAGCTGCCCTGTCCCCTCCCCAAACCCCTGCCCTTCCATGGTCCAGGAACTTAAAGTGTTAAGGCTGGCTTAGCTGGACCCCTAGGGCCCTGCCCCACATCTGGCTAGCCACCTGGCCTCTTTGATTGAGCCTAATTTGAGCCAGAGTTGAGGTGAATGATTTTGACTGTCTCCTGCAGCCAGGTGGGGGCTGGGCAGTTAGAGCCCTGACCTCCCTGTGCTAACTGTGCCAGTCTACTCTCTCCACAGTTTCAACCGTCTGGATCTCCCACCATACAAGAGCTACGAACAGCTCAAAGAGAAGCTGCTGTACGCTATTGAGGAGACCGAGGGCTTTGGACAGGAGTAACTGAGGCCGCCTCCTCCCACCCTCCCAGCACACATGTAGTCATAAGTCCTCCCTGCCCGAGAGGCTGCTGGCCGTGCAGCCCTTGGGAGGCCTCTGCAGGATGGTAATCCTGGGTGGGGACCACACTGTCATCACGTTGGTGGCAGCAGAGCCTGACTGTAAGAGGCCCTGCTTCCCACTCCTCACCTACCCACTGGTGGCAGTCTGGAATAAAGCCCACTAGTCATCTTTGGCCCTGTCACCCATTTGCACAATCTAGAGGGCTGACCCTCTCTGCAAAGCTCTCCCACCCTCTTCTGAAGACCAGCCCTAGGTGTGAGTGCGCGTGTACGTGCGGGCGCCTGGCCTGGTGGGCTGCAGCAGTGACCCTGTCTACAAGGTGGTTGCGTGAGAATGAGATCAGGCTCTTGGGGTAGCTGTTCTGAACTGAGGAAGCCAACGTTCTTTGCTGGTAAAGAAGATTTTATTTGAAATAGAACTTCCCAGAGATCTGTATGAAATGAAGATCTTGTGACCTCTGGGTCTTGGCTTCCCTCCCTTGCAGGGCTCCAGCCATGTAGGTGGAGCAGCCAGGCCCCTCTCTCCACCAGAGTGGGCTGTTCCGTTCTTTCGTAGCAAATAAAGGTTACACAAGCTGCTTGGGTCTCGGGTGGAAACAGTCAACTCCCTCAGACGTTCTTCTTCCTTTTATATATAAACTTGAAGCTTTTTGTGTGTAGGGTTGCTTTATGTTTTGTTTTGGTATGCTGCTGTCACTTTCTGTCAGGAGCTGATGCAGCAAGTGTTGCTGGGACCTTGAGGCACCCAACCAGCCCTGTTGGTCCAAGAATTTCCCAAACACCTACTCCTGTCGGGAAGTTGCTATCAGTTCTGCGAGCTCAGGCAGGCCTGGCCCAGCCGCCCAGTGTCATGGTGGCCTATTCCCTGACAGAGGAAAAGGGTCAGTGTCTGGTGCACCACCCTCAACCTTGCCCCTGCAACAGAGAGAGAATTCCCTTCACTAGATAAAGCCACCCAGGCAGCCCAAGTGACTGGGCAGATGGACCTCTGGAGTCCCTCCCCACCAGCCCCTGAAGCTCCCAGCAGGCCCGTCAGTCCTGTTTAGGGTAAAAGGTGTTCCAGCCAGCCTGAGGTGTGTTCGTCTGCATAGAGTTGAGGCTTTATCTGCATGCAGGAAGCGATGCTGTTGAAAACCAGCTGAAGGGCTCAGAGTTGCTGCAAATAGTCTGGTTTGATTTCTGGAGCTCCCACCAGCCTCCGACATGAGCATTCTGGCATTTATTGAAATCTTGAAAGTGAACCTGCTCCACTGGGATGCTGGTGTAGTGATGGTTGCAGCATCCCCGGGCCAGGCCCCTAGGGTTCCAGTGCCTGATTGTCCCAGGGCCCTGCGACAGGCTCTCAGACTGGTCGTGGGAACCTTCTGAGGAATGGCTCATTTTCCCAGATCCTCATCCTCTCCCCGGGCCCATGAAGAGTCAGCCACATGCCTGCTTGCACTTGTGTGCTGAGTTGAGTGGCCCAACTCCCTGCAGCTCAGCCTTTCTTCCTCCCTTCGGTTGTTTGCTGTGATTTGTTACAGCATCTCAGCATGCAAGGGTGTTATGTCGGGCAGGTCGGGGTGGGAGCTGCTGTGCAAGATTTGAATGCAACAGGCTTACGGGTGTTTAGAGTGTGTCTGTGTGTGTGTGTACCTATGTGTATATAACTGCAGTGTCTGTATGGAGTGCCCTTCGGTAGCACTGGGTTTGTTGCCAGATTGTTTTGTTATCCCTGCCCCCTCACCTCAGTATTGCCAGTTTCTTGTGCAATAAATAATCAGCAGCTGTGGGTGGTGTTGATGTGGCTATCTACAAAGTTACTGCCCTCCCAGGCCTCTACTGGATCCTCCAGGCCCTTGTAGAGGCAGAAGTTCCATGACTTGCTGGTTTTGAGAGGGAGATGCATCATTAACCAAGACCGCCCGCCACAGATTTGAGATGGGCGGCTGAAACCTTGTCCAGGGCTCACTGGCTTCAGCCCTCGGTCAGCTGCCTCCTCGCACCTTTTCGGAGCCCTCTGCGTCCCTTGGCCAGGCTGGGGTTTCTTTGAATAAATGCTGTGGGGAGCAGAATGTGAACAGCTGCAGCTACAGATTGGGTGGGCTTCAGAAACCGGCTCATGGGGACAGTATTCTGGGCAGTTGTACATTCAGGAAACATTTACTACGGTGTCACAACTTCCAAGGTGATAGGAATCCCTCATCTTGAGCTCCTGGTCACACAGGGGCTTGCCTCCCACCTCCCACTTTTTCCGACAGTTGAGGGTTTAAAGATGGGACAGATGTGACCACGATGCTGTGTTTTGATGCTTTTGACGTGGAAGTGACTCTCATGGACGAGCCCTTGCCCTGATTGTGTCTTTACTCACGGAAAGCAGAGCTGTTCAGAGAGGGAGGGCTCCCTCCCTGGAGCTCTTCAGCTGAATTCACTCCCCGCCCAAAACTTTTTCATTTGACAGGGTAACACTATACTTTGAAAAAAATTATTGAAAAAAGCCCACATGTGATACATACTTCTTCTAATAAATTCAAATAAGACATGCTCAAGTGGAAATTATTCTCCTCACTCATATCCCTAGAAGTAACCACTGCTCAGTTTGCTGTGGCCTTCCCAGACAATTTTGTGTGCATATACAATTTATATTCATACATTTTTGTATATACCGTGATGAACAACTGGCTTGTTTCATTAAGTGAGATATTAGAGACACCTTTCCATGTTCATCCATATAGAGTTACTTCATTCTTTAACTACTGCACAATATTTCATATTATGGTGGTTCTATCATACATCTGTCTTGCACTCACAGGCATTTCGGTTGTGTCCACCATTTGCTTATGGCCACGAACTTAACGTGATGTCCTGGGCAGGGCGTGTGCATGAGTGCTGTCTTTCACTAGAGCATCCTGGGAGTCAGATTGCTGATTACACCCCTTTATTTTTATTTTAAAAATTTTAAAAGTTTCTAAAATTCAAAGATGCAAAGTGTCTACAGTGAACAGCCTCCCTCACTTTTTTGTTCCTCAGCTACTCTGATCCCGACTCCTGAAGGCAACTGTTGTTGCCAGTTTCTTTTGGATCCTTCCAGATATACTTAAAAAAATCCTAACAGGTTCTGCCAAATTGCTCTTCAAAAGGTTCTTATTTTTCCAGCTATGGCTGGTATCTCTTGCTGTTCTACTTGAAAAATGAATCTTTAAGCCCTCCTGCCCATCTTTTCCGCACTCCTTTCCCTTTTCCATCTCAGTTTGGACAGATATGTGCTCTTTCACTTTTCCATGATCATAGTTGTTTATTTTTAACATCTACTTTTTGTTCTGTAACCATAATGAAACCTTCTATATCTTTTAAAAAGGTTTATTCCTAAAGCTGAAAAGCAACAAAAATGTTTACATTATCATAATTATGTAAATTTTTACTCCAGAGCAAAGTACCAAAACCAAACCCATTGCTGTCAAGTCGATTCTGACTCATACGTACTCTGTAGGATAGAGTAGAACTGCCCCATAGGGTTTCCAGGGAGCCGCTCGTGGGTTCAAACTGCTGACCTTTTGGTTAGCAGGCAAGCACTTAACCACTGTGCCACCGGGGCTCCGCACAGCTAAATACTATAATACAATTCTTTCTTTCTTGCACAGCTCTTTCCCCCTAGGGTTTCCAGTTGCCTTTCTTTGCTTTTATTATGTCCTCCTTTTTTTTCTTCTGTCTTAAACTCTGAAGTGGTTTAAGTAAAATTTGATAAGCAGGAAGAGCCCCTCACCCCAGCACTCATAAGTTCCTGATATAATAAGCCAAAGATACAAAATTGTTTTGGAAGTGAGGAGCAAATATGAATACTTTTGGCCGTTAGAGCCCCTAAATGGGGCTCCCAGGTGCCAGAAAGACTCTTCACATAAGGTAGGACCTCATCAGATCTGGAAAGCTCAGCTCTTGCTACGCCACTGCCCGTCTGTATTGGGGTTCACATTGCCTTTCCAGAAAAACTTACTCTAAAGATCCATGTGCTTCCATTTAAAGAAATGCTTAGGAAGAACAGGCTTCCCTGGTTCTTGTATATATATTTGTGTGTGTACATACCTATATACATATACATGGAGCCCTAGTGGTGCAGTAGTTAAGAGCTCAGGCTGCTAAGCAAAAGGTCAAAGTTTGAATCCATCAGCCACTACTTGGAAACCCTATGGCAGTTCTACCCTGCCCTGTAGGGTCACTGTGAGTCATAATTGACTCAATAGTAATGGGTTTTTTTTTTTTGGTTTATGCATATCCATATATACATACACATACACATATGTTGTTGCTGTTGTGTTGGCTCTGACTCATGATGACCTTATGTAGAACGGAATGAAACAGCATCCAGTCCTGTGCCATCTTCATAATCAGTGGTATGTTTCAGTCTGTTGTTGTGACTATTGTGTCAGTCCATCTCATTGAGGATTTCTCTCATTTTCACTGGCCCCCTACTTTACCAAACACGATGTCCTTTCCTAACGATCGGTCTTTCCTGATGACATGTCCGAAGTAAGCGAACCAAAGTCTCACCATCTTCACTTCAAAGGAGCATTCTGGTTGTATTTCTTCTAAGACTGATTTGTTCTTCTGGCAGTCCATGGTGTATTCAGTATTCTTTGCAAGCACCACAGTTTGAATGTATCAATTCTTTTTCTGTGTTCCTTTTTCATTATCTAGCTTTCACATGCATATGAGACAATCGAAAATCACGTGGCTTGGGTCAGGCACACTTCAGTCATCATGGTGACATTTTTGCTCTTTAAAACTTTCAAGAAGTCTTTCGCAGCAGGTTTGTCCAGTGAAATATATATATTTCTACACACACATACATATATATTATTTTAAGGAATTGCCTCATACGATTGTTGTTAGCTACCACAGAGGTCGCCCCTGACTCGTGGTGACCCCATGCACAACAGAATGAAGTGCTGCCTGGTCCCGCACCATCCCCATGATCTGTTGAGGATCAGGCTGTTGTGATCCATTGTGTTTTCACTGGCTGATTTTTCAGACGTAGATCACCAGGCCTTTCCTCCTAGTCTGTCTTAGTCTAGAAGCTCTGTGCAGCATCTTAGCAGCATGCAAGTCTCCACTGACAGATGGGTGTTGGGGCCGGAAAATTCTGAAATCCTTAGAGTAGGCCAGCAGGCTGGAAACACAGCAGGAGGTGAAACTGCAGTCTTGAGGCAAAATTTCTTCTTCTCTGGGAAACAAGCTTTTACTCTTAAGGCCTTCAGCTGATTGGACGAGGCCCACTCACATTATCTAGGATAATCTCCTGTGAAGTAAGTGATTATAGATGTTAGCTGCATTTACACAATACCGTCATAGCAACACCTAGATTACTGTTTGATTAAATAGCTGGGTACCATAGGCTAGCGAAGCTGACGCATAAAACTAACCATCACAGTGCCCAAAGTTATTATCTTAGTTCATTTCCCTATAGTTCACCCCATGAAATCTAAGGATTTCAGATACTACTACTCATACTGCTACAGCAAAACAGGAAATCTTTTATATTCATTTACTGTCAGTGTAATGGGGTCTTGGGAGGGAGAAGAGATAAACACATGTCAGAATTGAGTTTTTGCTATTCAGCCAAGATTGGTGGTCCTCACTTCCGTATCAACTACGTAGGAAATGACTTAGATTCTCAGTTTCTAATTCAGCAGGTCAGGGGGTGTCGTTAGGTGCCGTCGAGTTGGTTCCAACTCACAGCAACCCTGTGTGCAACAGAACAAAACACTACCCAGTCCTGCACCATCCTCACAATCGTTGTTATGCTTGAGCCCATTGTTGCAGCCACTGTGTCAATTCATCTTGCTGAGGGTCTTCCTCTTTTTCGCTGACCCTCTGCTTTACCAAGCATGATGTCCTAGGTCAGGGG